ATATATTCAAAAAAGAGATAAAAACAAATACTTATTTTAAATTTGTTTCTTATTCCATGAAGGTATTATTGTTTGCAAATCATCACTTACTTGAAATTTGGTTTTCTTTTTGAATATTCCATAAAATTTTTACTACTACGATATTTATATGTATATTTTCTATATTTTACACTTACATTATATTATAGTGTGCCCTATAATTAGGTCTGGTGCCTATTTGGATAATATTAGTTTTTTATATATATAAAAAAATTATGTCATGAGGAAAATGATAATTTTTTTCAGAAATTCGCCAAATCTACTTTGGGAGCAGAAAGAGGTACTTTCTTCATTATAGACGAAGAAAGCGACGACCTAGTAGCGGAAGTATTTGAAGAAGGAATTGGTGTGGACGATATAACAATGCACAGGAAAAATGTGAAAGTTCGTTTGTCGAGGGATCGGAGCATTGCTGGTCTAGTGGCACGGACTGGAGCAACTGTCAATATTAGGGATGCCTTCAACGATCCCAGGTTTTTTACAGAAGTAGATGAAAAAACTGGTTTTATTACTAGATCAATTCTTTGCATGCCTATCGTCAGTGTTGATAACATTTTAGGTTAGCATATTCATCATCAAAATATTGATGTTGGCAGCGCCTGGCGTTAACAAAAACTCTAAAAATATACCAAAATGAAATACCAGTATGTGCTTCAAATTATAAAACAAACTGAAAATGTTTTCTGAAACTCAAAAAAATATAACGTGTACTTCTGAATAACGAAAGAAAAAGGTAACTGGCAGTAAACTACGAACCTAATACAATAATGGTTCAAATAAACCACCTTGTGGTTTATTTAGGTTTGGCACCTTGTTGCCAAATAAAAACCAAATATGTGATACAGAGATAATTTCATATCTCTGAGTTTATTTGGCGTAATGCTCTCACAAACTTGGTTAATTTCCCTCTCAATTCATCAAGATTTGTAGTTCTCTGAAATTCATGCCGATAGGCACATTTTTCAGATATCCTCAAAGAAATAAATCACTCATAGATAAGTCTGGTGATCTGGGATGCCACTTATTCGTACCACGTGTAGATATCAAGTGACCAGGAAACGTTTTTAGGAGAAATTGTGTCACTGGTCGTGCATCGTGAAGATTTGAAAGCTAGGCTGCTGAAGATGCAGATGTACTCATTATTGATACATTTTTTGTTTCATTCAATAACAAAACATATTTACCGAGTTATCACAACATGATTATTCAAATTTTTGAAGTTGGGAATACCACTCCTTGAGAGTACGAGGGAAGATGGAAAATTATATGCCCAAAAATAAAAATTGTATCATGTATAACTCATTATCATATGCGCCCATAACTAAACATATTAATATTATTACTCATCGAATGTCATTTTACTTTACTGAAATTTTTCAGGTGTCGTACAAGTTGTGAACAAAATAAATGGAGTCTGTTTTACGCCATCTGACGAAAATTTGTTCAAAACGTTCTCAGTATATTGCGCTCTTGCGTTACATTATACAAGACTGCACCAAAAAATGTTTAAAACGGTATTTACAAACAAAATATATGAATGACAAAAGTAACTTACCGCTATTAATTATAGGATAAAATTAACGAATGCAATTTGAAGTTGCTGCGAATACAACTGAAACCATGTGTACATGATATGGAGAACTTCATTCAAAAACCTGAAACTGAGGAACCGTATAATTTTACAGAGTGAGTAGCTTTCAATTTCAAATGAGGGATGCTTTCTTGTCGTTTTCACTCTTGTCGTTTTCACAGCATCAATTCAATTCAATTCAGTGTATTTTCCCAAGAAATAATAAATGGGACTATAACTATATTTAACAATAAACACTTAACATATCTTGAAAAAAAAAAAACAATAAGATACTGTCGTATATGAAACTGGTTTCATAAAGTGCATGTTCGAAACGAATTCCAGGGTAATAGAAAAAAATGCAAATTATGAAATTCCACTAATTAGATTTTTTTTGAATTGATATTTAGATTTTGTAATGGAATAGTGCTTCTTCATTTTCTCTGAAAATGATTATATAATGATCCTTATCGTGATATATCGATTTTTTTCCTAAATTTGTTTGTATTTCAATTTTTAACAGTAATTTGGTTTGTCTTGTGGCATAATTATGAATATGTCCAATTCGCCTTATATTGAAGTTTCATTTCTTTGTATTATTTTTAACAGGATGAATGAAACAGCTGATTTTGAGTTTGTGGAGCGAATTTATGTTCAATGTTGGTTCCAAATATGGTAATCTATAAATACTTCTAATTATTTTGTTTTGCAAGGTTTTCAGAGGTTTGATTATAGATTCACTAACTGTTCCCCAAACAGAAATGAAATAGTGCAAATGTGAATAAACGAGACTAAAATATATATATATTTAAGAAAAATTATAGGTACAAAGTTTATAATACTTGAAAAAATTCCAATAATTCAAATTTTTTCAATTTGTTTATTCCATGACAATCTCTCATCGATGTATAAACTCAAAAATGTTGTTGTTTCTGTATATTAATAGAATTATTATTAAATATAATCGAATTATTTGAAGTAATAATTGTTCTCAGGAAAATATTCATATATGAGCATTTATTGGAATTGAACTTCAATTTATGTTCTTTAAATCGAATGAGGAATTTCATCCAAATCTGTCTTCATATATTTTTTTTTTCGTAACTGTCTGAGAAATATATGTTATATGTTGTTTAAGTGAGATATAACATACAAAATGTTAGTATCATCAGCAAATGATGACAATTGACTATGCTCAACTGGATCAAAAGCTTTGCACAAATCTAGACACAAGCGACATTTCTTATTTTTATCAATTTCCACTTGGATTTGCGACACCACATCCATTACCGCTGTCTCTTTGTCGCTAGATCTGCGAAAACCGCAGATTTAGCGACAAGATAAATATAAAGATAAAGCCTTGTATATATCAGTTTTTCTAAGATTTTTGCAAAAACTAGAAGTACAGAAATTGGTCGATAGTTGTTTAATTCGTTTCTTTTCTTACTTTTTGCGAAACCTTTGCAATTTCCATTTTATTTGGAATTAAGTATTCGACTTTCGAATGATTTGGAAATGATATGAAATAAATTTGGCGATACTTTTTTCTGCTTTCATAATTTTTACAGAGATTTTGTCAAATCCACATGCTTTGTTAGGATTGAGTTGATAAATAATATCCTCTATTACTCGTACAAATAAGTTCCAAAAACATAGATGAAACACACTATGCAGATAGTACGTAGAGGAGTGATACTGAGCAAAAATTTGTATATGGTGAACAAAGAGTTTCTCAATTGAAAACAAAATAACTCTATAAACATTACAAAATGTAACAATATGCTTAACAAAAGTGCTGGCAATTTCAACTTTTAAAATTCGAATGTCAAAATTATTCTATGTGATAAATGAATTGTGATTCTTTCAAACTGCATAATTTCCCTCATTGTATGAAAACGATGGAAAATCTGAAGGCTAGGCAGCTTTTGCAGACTTTTCCCGCGGTCAGCAATTTGATGTAATGTCGTCCGGTTGAACCGCGTCTGTAATTTTCATCTGTTCGACGTTTCTGCTTCTGCTTCGAAGCCATTTTAAGAACCACTTGAAACTGAAATTACATGACTCGACAACGGGGTCCCTAAACCCCAAGCCTCGTCAATGGCTTTGTTCAGCACTTGAAGCTGAAGCATAGCAAAGCAGACTCAAAGGTTAGTTGTAGAAACTTGCGCGAGATAATATTCAGGGTATCCACATCTTTGCTACTTGTTACCTGCCAAAGCCATGATGATCCAAATACAAGTGGAAAATCGTTTTCCACCTATGTTGGGGTCGTGAGCTGAAAAACTTTTTTCTTTTATAAAGTAAAGAAGGTCTAGCATTTACGGACTCTTGCTCTATTTTGAGACTTATGTGCATTCTAAATGAAATATTTTTCAGGTTCCGATGGTATATTACACCCGAAGATGTGCCCGAAATGCCACGTTTGGTGTTACATATGATAACGCAAATAATAGGCACAAAAGAAATAAAAATGAGAAATGTTATGGAATTCATCCTATCTGTCAGAAAGTGCTATAGAAATAATCCTTACCATAACTTCGAACATGCATTTAATGTAGCTCACTGCATGTTCAATATTTTATACAGAAATAAGAAGCAATTCAATAATATTGAGGTATGTAGTTTATTAATGATAATTTTTATGGCGTGTTTAATCCTTTTTGTTTGTGGAAGTCGAGCTTTCTTTGACTGTTCCTTGAAAGTAACCGTTGGCGTTTATCTTGCGGTTATCTTTACCATCAACACGCTAGTGTTCCTCAGGGATCCATATTGTTAATAACCATTTTTTTATTAAACACAAAAAATCTCTTGGAAAAAATCCCCTTTGATGACAGCAACATGTTGCATATTTTCCCATATATATGCCCAAACATCTTTTTGCATCTTAATGAAGATTTGAAGGAAATTCCTTTTTATACAGGGTGTTTCAAATTCAATCCTCACTATTGGGATCTCGGAACTAACAATATGACTTTGAGAAAGTTCTGAAATTCCGAGTATATCCGGAAAAAATAGAAATTTCGGAAAATGGTTTTTATTTCACGAATGAAGAAAAAAGAGGTATGATACAAATTTATTACAAATACGATTTTAGGACATCAAAAATGGTATCCCGAAGGACGACAACCACATTGAACTATGTTCAAGTTATTGCATCAAAATCTCACCGAGTTTGGTTCATTTGAAAAGTCGAGGAAAAAATACGGAGCCTTGAACAGACAACAGGGCGAGTACTAGAGTGCCACCAAGATTTAGCCAAAGTCTCGTTAGACAATAACATTATCCTGAGGTGGGCTGAAGGGCACGACAGGAGTAAAGGTAATCGCATTGCCGACTCTTTAGCTAAGGAAGCGGCTGGACTGAGAATTTTAGGACCCAGTGGCAGCTACGGCCTAATGACTTCGACAATTACGGAACTAGCCAAATCTTACATCGATGCTCAATCTCTAAAGAGATGGCATGGAATCAAAGGATGCAATCTTGCCAGGATCACCCTGGGCGACCCTGGGAAGCTGGCGCCGAAGAAGGATCTGGCGATAACTCGGAAAAATGTACGCTTAACAGTAGGATTTCTGACTTGCCACTGTCAACTAAGGAAACACCTCCATGTGGAGCTGTCTACCTTCCTGGAAAGGACAGGATGGACGATGACCTAGGATGACAACTCCTCGGGAAGATGTACAATGGGTCACATATGGTTAAAGTGCTGTGAGCTTACACTCACCCTCCCTACTCCACAGATACAGATATGGTTTGTGATAGTTTTATTATGAATTTTATTCACTGACCAGCTGTAATTAGCTCATTCTGTACTGAATGAAGAATTGATATAGACATCTACCCTCACGAAGACTACATTTATGGTATCGACAGAAGACTCATTCCACGAATATAAAAAATAAACCAGGCTCCCCAAAATGGTTAGTTACAAAGCCAAGCATCGACATCAAACGATATTCGTCTTCTGTCTTTCACTGCGAAGTAACGAGTCGAAACAAGAGCCAAAACAAAAAAAAAAGAAACAAAGATCACTAACCGACCTTTAATATTTTACTACTTTGATAATCTTCAGCTGTTGTGCTTAATATTTTCAAGGCCTTTGTCCATGTCTAATATGATAATCAACTGATTAAACTTCGAAAAAGTTACAGCTTGCTAAATTGTTTTAATTCATTGGTCGTTTAACTTTCTCAATAAAGGATTCACCCTTCGAAGGTTCTCTCTCAGTGTCTCAAATACCTCCAACTATCATCGCTGATATTCGACAATATTCCTTATTGTCTCGAAACGTTTTTTTATTTACTGCTGATCTATTCCACCCATCAAAATTCCTTGTCGAAGTTTCCGGAATGTTCTGAATTCTATTTCAATTTATGGGATTTTACTAAGAAAACGCAGAATGTTGAACCCAGATCTCAATATTCCTTTGAAGATTTTTCTTCATTCTTCCAAATATTGAAGATATTTTGTTATGAGGGTTAGGTTAGCTTAGGTCCAAAGTGAGTGGGCCTATTGAGCTCTCCACCGCAACCCGCAAGGGTTTATTGTGGCTCACACCTATTCCCACTCTACCAAATAAACCCAGCTTTTCAACGAAGCCGATAAGTTTGTATGCATATGATGATTCAAATGACAGTGACCTTTGACAAGGCCTGTTAGACATCGTAGTTCATTCCTACTGTAGTCCAATAACTTTTTAGTATCAAGCTTCGAAGGGTGAATAAACGCCTTGGAGTGAGCCAATCCTGGAAGATTATGCCATCCAGGTGTTCAATCTTTGTTTGGCAGAGATACCAATGACAGGTTCTGGTTCGATGAAGCTTTTTGGGGCACTCTCCTTTGCAAGGCAGTCAGTAGCCTCATTGTCTTCCAGGCCAGTATGGCCAGGAATCCAGACCAGAGACAATCTGTTAAGTCTTTCTAGGTGAGGTGAATAAAGTTTATTATTATTATAATTGAACATAGTTGACGGCTGGGAACAGAGTTCTATGAAAGCCCAATAAAATACAAATTGATATAAACAGTGGTGAAAGGATGAAAAGAGACGTTGCTCGATAGGAGCCAAGAGCTTCCAGCTTTGCTAGACTGTCCGAGAATATTTTTATTGACTATTTATGAGGTTGGATTCTTCCAATCTCTCCGCACACAATTCAATAGCGTAAATTTCCGCTTGAAATACAGTCGCATAGGTTCCTAGGCAGGTTGATATCTCTGTCCTGGGTCTGCGACTGAAAACATCTGCATCAGAACCGAAAGGTGTTTTTGATTCATCTGTGAACCAACAACTATCTGCTCTTATTATTTCCTTCTCCCGGAGGATCCAATCGTCTTTAGGAACAGTACTTTATAAGGCGGATCGTAGTTGACAGTTGGAGGCATAAGGTCAGAGGTCATTTTCAGAATGCTGTGACTTCCAGTGTCAACCAACAGTCTGTTGCACTCTGCATTAAATTGATTTGTGATATTGGCAATGTGCACAAGTCTATAAGCAGTCCATCTAGCCTCTCTCTTCAGAATAATGTGGAGAGGAGGTAGATCTAGAAGGATCTTCATGGCNCTGCATTGAATTGATTTGTGATATTGGCAATGTGCACAAGTCTATAAGCAGTCCATCTAGCCTCTCTCTTCAGAATAATGTGGAGAGGAGGTAGATCTAGAAGGATCTTCATGGCCGCTGACAGTGTGTGGTACTCATGGCACCACTGATGACCAGACAAGCCTGTCAATGTAAGCCAGAGACCTTCGCCTGGGCCCTTTTTTGTACAAGCCACCAGGCAATTGAACCATAAGTAATCATTGGTCTGACAATCATCACATAAATCCAATGGATTTGTTCGGGATCTAAACCCCAAATTTTACCACAAAACATTCGACATGTCCATAGGACAGTATGGCTTTGTGTAAAACTTTTTCCAAGTGAGCGTTCCAGGTGATTTATTCATGCCAAGATATTTCACCTACGTTCCAAACGGAATGACCTCACCATTGAGGAAAAGCGGCGTTATATCGTCCAATTTTCTCCTCCTGGTGAATGAGATTATCACAGTTTTGCTGGGGTTGACAGACATCTGCTCCCTCAGGCACCAACTGTGAACAACGTCCATCGTGCTTTGGAGGATTTTACAAGCAATCTTGTTATGAGGGATTTGAATTGTAAATAAAAAGAATTCATGATCGAGATTTGTTATTCTAATGTAACTAAGTAAACATTTTTTTTTAAATTACAGACAAAATCACTTCTGATAGCAGCCTTATGTCACGATTTGGACCATGGAGGATTTACGAACAACTACTTGCAACTAACAGATGATACTCTAGCACAGCTATATGATGAATCACCTTTAGAAAATCATCACTATCGAGTGGCAATGACGATTCTCAGTGTAAGTTTGGATTATCTATTAAAATCACGTAGGGATTCTGTTATGTAATATTTCAGGGGTGTCAGATATATCCTTACATATCCAAGAAGGTATTTGAGCAAATTTCGAAGGAAATGAAAGACGCCATTTTGGCAACTGACTTGGCCAGTTATTTCAAGTTTCGTGTTAAACTGGTGCAACTGATTAATGAAGATGTTTTGGATTTTTCAAACACCAGACATCGAACTTTGGTGAAGGCTATCATGATGACAAGCTGCGACTTATCGGGAAACTGCAAGCCTTTCCTTGTTGCCAAAAATATATGCGACAATGTTTACAGTAATTGAAAATATATGAAAGGGTCTCTCATCTCAATTAATATTTTCCAGAGGAATTCTACAATCAAGGTGACTTAGAAAAGAAGATGGGATTGACTCCTCTATCTCTGATGGACAGAGAAAAATCTCAAATGGTGCCAGAGGACCAAGTCCAATTCTTAACTGTCATTGTGTTGCCCTGCGTGGAACTATTGAGAAAGATTTTTCCCAACACGAAAGATTTGCATGCAGAAGCTTTGTAAGATATTCTATTGATGTTTATATACTGACAACATAAGTTTGCACCTCAATGAATCTTTTGAAAGGTTGATACAAGTATGAATATTTACTTGTTACAGGGTAGGATAAAAGTTTCTTTGACAATGAGAAAGTATCTTAGATACTATTTAGATATTCATAACTAAAAGTTTCATGTTATTACCCAATTCCTTTTCAAGCGAGAGCTGAGCAGTAATAAAATTAAATGTATATTTTAGGAAAAAAAACTAATCAATACAGTTTATTGTGTCGTGGTGTCGCGGTTTTTGTAAAACCCTTATAGTGAAAATCATACAATAAACTGTATTGATTAGTTTTTTAATATGGATTTTCATCAAGTATCGGTCAGTTCTATTCAATTATATTTTAGGAGATTAATTTTTGGGAAAGAAAGTGATAATTTACGGTAAGATAAATTGGCGGTAACAAATTCACGTTGTATTTTATGCTGCAAAGGATGAAATTCACAATATATACGCTTCATGCGTCCTTGAATACCGCACATTTTTCTATAAAAATTACCGCGTAAGAATAATTTAGCTTTCTCGTTAGGTTACATTAGTTTCTTGCAATAATTATTTTGTGTGGTAACGCTTTATGCAGAAGTATTTGTGTTGAACAATGAAAAATATGTTCCAGTTTCCATCTAAAAATTTGACCTTGTATAGAAATTTTAAACTCAACCTACAGCTTTCGTGATCTTGGGAGGAATGAGCACATAACAATTCATTTAGGATGCAAACTTCTATAGGATGCCTCATTTTGAGGGACTTCGCCTGGAGTTGAAATATTATCAAAATAAATATATATTATGAACNTTCTTCAGTCGGAAAAAGAACACATGTATTATTCGTGGTAGTTTTACGCCATATATAATTTCAATTTCTTTTTATTTTATTTGCCGTTTTTCCCCCATATTAGTGTATAATGTGTTGAAAATTGTTTGCGATGTCACTTTTTTAGTGAGTATGCTTCCTGTTTTAGTTTTAATTGTTGTAATTGATGTTTTTTTGTATTTTCATTGCTGATTTCTCGAATTACGTTCCACAATTGTTTGTATTAAGGGATTTGCATTTATTTGATTTTGGTAATAGTCACATTTAGTTTTACGTATCAAGTTAGTTAGTTTAGTTTGATATTTTCTAAGTTTGTTTTTCAGTTCTATATTATTAGAATCTTTTGTCACTTTTTTGAGTAGTTCGTTTTTTGAGTGAATTGACTTCACCAGACCAGCAGTTATCCAGGGAGTGATTTTTGTGTTTTTTCCTTTTTTTCCATTCAACCATACATTGGTTTAAAGTATCAATGAAGTTATCTATTGAAATATTAGGTTCTTGTGTACCGAGTACGTTATTCCAAGTTATATCACACATTATTTTTTTAAGTTTTGTGTAGTCGACCCGTTGTACATAATTTTTCCTTTCACTCTCATTGTTATTGTTTTGGTTCCAAATTTATTTGTAGGGCTGTTGTGAAGTGGTATGTTTTACCACTTTGAATGATCAGTATTGCCCGGTGATAGTTTGACGAATAAATGGTATATGCAGGAGTGACTGCATATACCATTGACTGCATTATAACCGACAAATATCCAAACTCACTCAAAACGTTGAGATATTCGTTAGAGAGATCATCCTCTTTCAATATATTTATATTTAGATCTCCTACAAGGATTAAGTAGGAAGTATTTTATATTGCTGAAATGAATATACTCTCGTTTCCAAGAATAATCTTCACTTCTATAACTTTAATGTTACTAATTGTGAGGACTCTATAGCTATATTGATGATTTGCGCGTACATATATCACTACGACGCCATCATTTTGATTAAAGTTGTCATCGTTGTATATCATACTATAACCCCTTATGTAATACAGTTCTGGGTTTACCACCCATGTTTCAGTAAGAACAATACAATCGATGTCAGAATCCAGGTTATCTAGAAATACTTTGAATTCATCGATATTTTTGTTAATGCTACGAATGATGTTCATAACAGCTTTACCTTCAAGGATATCTCTCAGAGTGAAAGTTTCAATACTTTCTACCTTGAAATCTCGTATATATTGGTCCATTTTAGCGGGAACACAGCAAATTCAGACTTGGAATAAAATATTTGTTGAGCTATCTCTAGTTACAAATTAAAGGTAGTACTGATAGCATATATCAAGTTATTGTACTGCAAAAAAAGCAGAACCAGAAGTAGTTATTATTCTGTTTTCTGGCTATTATTACGAGTTCTCATTTTCGAATTTTCTGTCAGCTCTTTCGAGAGTCTTGCAGGTGCCTGGTTATTAGGAGTCTTAGCTTTATATTGCTGAGTTTCAATAGAGTTTTCGGTAGGTTTCTTTTTGATTTCTAGTTGTCTTCTGGTAGCTGCTACTGTTGGTGTGCCTGGAGCGCTTTGCAGTTTCTCATCCTGGATATTTTTCTCTATTTCCTCGAGTTCTTCAGGAGAATAAATTTTTCCATTTACGTGTAACTTCCCCCTTTGATGAAACAGTTTGTCTCCTTGTTTGCTCGAGCTAAGAGAAGATGTTTTCTTTGAATTTGATGTTCTCTACGTTGTTTGATGGTCAAATCACCTCTTATGGAAATTTTGGTCCCATTTAGATTTCTCGTATTTTTCAGAACCGCTTTCTTTTTCAGGAAAGACGTGAACTCAATTTTAATTGGAGGATTGTTAGTTTTGCCCAAGAGGTAGAAATTGTTAAGATCAC